AGGAGGGAGAGATAGAGAGGGAGGAGAGAGAGCTCTAGAAAGACCTCGAAGGACGGTGGGGGGCGGGGCGGGGGAGAGAGAGACGGGGAGACAGAGACTCTGGGACACCCAGAGCCAAGGGCAGAGACAGAGCGAAGGGCAAAGGTAGTGGGAGGGACCCTGGGGGGGGGGGTCCCTGGCGGGCAGGGTGTTTTGGGTGCATGGGTTCCTTCCTGCAGCTCCTAATGTCAGAAAGCATCTGTAGAGGACACAGCCTCCTCCGGAGCCCCTGCCTCTGTCTTCCCTCCAGCCTGGGCCCTCCGTGTCCCTGGGTGTGCCCCTCCTCTGCTCAAACACCTGCCATGGCTCCCAGGCTGGCAGGCAGGCCCCGGAGGAGGCGGCTGGCTTCTCTGCCATCTTCTCTCTTGCTCCTTAAATCTTCACTGAACACCTACTGCGTGCCAGGCGCAATGCTAAGCCCCGAGATTTCAGTAATGACCAAATCGGACCAAATCCCTTTTGTCACGGAACTCAGAGTTGTGTGCAGTGATTGATGCTGTGACGATAAAGCAAGCAGGAGAGGGGGTGTTGTTGGTGGTGATGGCAGTGGGTGATGGCTCTGGGGACAGTGTCTTCCAGGCAGAGGGAAAGGCCCTGAGGTGCTCTCAGGCTTGGTCACCCCCAGGCACGGAAAAGAGGCCAAGAATGGTTAGGCTGAAGGCCTCCACAAGGGAGGGGGGCAGTGCCTCAAGGAGCATCCCTACCTCTCACACCCTCCTCAGCCCAGCCCCCTCCCGCTGTACCCTGACCTGTCTGCACCCCCATCCTCTCGAAGCCCTCCCCTCCAGCACTGGCTCCAGAAGCTTTCTCTTTCTCTTCAACAAAATGGCTCTAAGATCCTGGACCCTGTCGTTTGGGCCTTCCTACATCAGGATCCAGGTTCCTGGCTGTGTGCTCTTGGGCAAGTCACTACCTGTCTCGAGCCTCAGTTTCTTTATCTGCAAATTGGTCCTTCCTTTACAGGTCTTTTCATGAAGTACCTGAGAGATGGGGCGCCTGGCTGGCTCAGTCGGAAAAGCATGTGACTCTTGATCCCTGGGCTGGTAGGTGTGAGCCCCACGTTCGGTGTAGAGATGAATAACAATAAATAAATAAATGTCAAAAAAAAAAAAAAAAGAAGAAGAAGGAATTAACAGAGACTAGTCCAAACCTTTAGCCAAGGTTGGGACCGTAACGGAAGTTCAAATCGTAGCTGTTTATGATTTCTTTTATCCTTATGACTCGCTTGGCCTTCCTGATTATTTCTGGTTGCTCCTAGTGGGGCCAAGAGCTCCTTTAGCTGTGGCCAGGTGACCTGCCATGGCATGGCGCTGCCTTGTTTTGTGACCTTGACAATTTGCTGCAGTTTTGCTGTCTGCAAAGTGGGCACAGTGACGTTATTTACAGGTCCCCGACTCCACCATCGGCCGGGCTTCTTTCTGCTTCTCCCCCAAGACTGTGTCCAAGCTGCCAACACCCAGAGGACTCAGGAAGGAGGAAGGCAGCAGGTGTACCTGGCCAGCCTGGACTGTGGCCATTTCATGCATCATGCGGGGAGTTCCAGCTCAAACCAGAAGGAGGAGGGAGAGGGCTAGCTCTCTGGGGCTGGGGTGCTCTCAGACCCAGGAGTCAGTGGAGGTACAGAGGGGTGTATGGGGACAGGGGCTGGGTCCGGCTCAGACCACTGGGGCCTGTGGGATTCTCCAACACTGAGGACATTAGGACCATTGTATGGACAGGAAATGGAGGCACAGAGTGGCGGGGGGAGGGGGGGGCTCACACCCCTGATGCATACAGATCCCCCTGCTAAAAAGACTCTTCTCTTCTCAAAAGGAGAGTGGTGGGAGAAGGGGAGGAGCTTTGGAGAAGGAGCAGGGACCCCCTGAAGGGATGGTGTCTGAGGGGGGGTGAGGTAGTCAGAAATGGGTGGGTTCATCCCATCCCCGCTGCTCCCCCGCTCCTCAAGTCCTGTGCCCAAAGAGCTAGGGGCATGGCCCTCCTCCCTCTCCTCCCTGGGCCCCCTCCTCGAGTTTCTCCGCCCCTCCCTCTCAGCTCCCTTCCCCCTCCCTACTGTTTCTCCCGCGCTCCACCTTCCCTCCTCCCCATCCTCACCCTCCTCCCGTCCCCCTCTTACCTCCTTCCCCCCTCCTCTTCCTTCTCCCCCTAACCTCCTCCCCTCCCTTCCCTCCATTTTCTCCTCCTCCTCCTCTCTCCCCCGCTTCTGCCCAACCTCCTCCACCCCTCCATTCTCTCCTCCTCCCTACCCCTTCACCCCCTCTCTCGTCTTCCTCCTCCCTCTCCCCCCTCCTAGCCCCCTCCCTCCTCTCCCCACTCCCCCTGCATTCTCTCTCACCGCCCCCTCCTCTTCTCCTCCCTCCTCTCTTCAGCCCCCTGCACTCTCCCCTCCGCCCCCTCCGCCCCCTCCTCCCGCCTCATTAGGCGCGGCCGCGGCGCGGGGCCCATTAGCGGATCAATTAGCCGAGGTCGCCGGCGGCGCGGTCGTTAAGCGCGGGAGGCCGCGGCGGGGAGGGGGCTCGGGAGGCGGCCCTTCTGCCCACCCCGGCTCCGCGGCCGCGCACCCCCGGGACCTTCTCGTCATCCTGCCCCACCGGGGGCTCCTGGACCCTCCGCAAACCCTCGGGGGACCCAGCCCCGCAGGCGGGATTGGGGGGAGGGGCTCCGAGGCCCGGAGGAAGACCCCCGAGGTCACAGGCCTTCCGTGGCTGGGCAGGGCGCCCCTTCTCCGGAGAAGACCCCTGGTTTGGGGGTGCCGGGTTTGTGACCCCCCCCCCCACGGCGCCCTTCATCTGCCAGCAACATCAGTAATAATAACATCAGCTGACAGCTTGTGAGCCCTTGCAGGCTTCCTGCTAATTCTCGGGAACAATTTCCCAGAAACTGAGGTCAGACAAGTGACTTCACTTGCCTCAAATCACTAGTTAGGGTCTGAGATGGGTACAAACTCAGGTCTGCCCTCAATAAATTTGCTAACATTTATTGAGTTGCTTCTATGAGCAAATTAAAAAAAAAAAAAGGCAGCCAACACTCCCCATCCCTTGCTCTCTATCAACACATTCTGGATTTTCCTGGTTATCTGTCTATTCCAGCCAGAGGGCAGGAATTTATGTCTTCTGTGTCCCTGGGGCTCCGAGTAGGTCCCAATAAATGAATGAACGTGCGAGTCTCTGCTAGAAGCATTTCCACGGATTAAATAATATGATCTTCATAATAAGGGCTTGTTCTGAGATCATACCCATTTTACAGATAGGGAATCCAAGATCCGAAGGGGTGAAGCCACTTGTCTAGACTATCCAGCCGTGAGAGTGAGAGCCAGGATTTAAATCGAGGCTGGAGGCCCCCATCATGCCTGTCTGGGCCTCAGTCTTCTCATCTTGCCAAGGGGCTGACAACCCTACCTCCCACGGCCATGATTGCTGGGCCGCCTGGATTATTCCTTGCAACCATCATGTGACATATTAATATGTTGCTTGTGTGGGACCTGGGTGGAGGGGCCACAGACCCCTACTTTGGGGTAGGGTCGGGGGAGGACTTGAGAAAACTGACATCTGGAAGTCTTGGAGGATTACTACCCTGGGAAGGGGGAAAAAAAGAGGGAGAACACTGTTCCAGACAGAGAGAACAGCATGTGCAAAGGCCTCTAGGCAAGGAACAGCAAGATGGTGCAGTCTGGCTGCAGCCTGCTGGAGTCATTGGAGGGGTGGGTAGTAGGACCAGCTGCCATGGAGGCCCCCAGATCTATTTTTTATGATTTTTTTAAAAATTGTGAAATGTAACACACAAAAGAGGGCACAGATTGTAAGTGAACAATTTGATGATTAGAGTGAACACACTCATGTCATCAGCTCCCAAGTTAAGAAATGGAACTTGAGCCCCCTCTGCCCCTCCCCCACCCTCTCCCAAGGGTGACCCCATGACACCTGACACTGTAGGTCACTTGGGCTTGATTTTGTTCCTTATATAAATGGAATCACTCTGTATTTACGCTTTTGTCCCCGGCTTTTGTTCAGCGTGCCTTGCGCAAGATGCGGGTGTTGAGTAGAGTGGTGGCTCGTACTTTTTTCGCACCTTTTCGTGGCTGCGTCGTGTTTCCCAGGCATGATGATGTCACTCACAGCTTAGCCATTCTGCTGTCGATGGGCAGTGGGTAGCTTCCGGTTGGGGGAAGTGGGGAGGAAGGACAGCAACTCTGAACACCCTTGTCCATGCCTTTGTGGAGGTTGGGAGCCACACGGCTCTGGGGGTGGGGACCCAGGAGGGGACTTGCTGGGTGCCAGATTGCCTTCCAGGTGGGTACGACACTTGGCATTGTAACATTTTCGCTCCCCAAGTGTCCTGGGTGAGTTTGGGTTTTCAGCACAAGGATAAATGCTAGGCAGGGAGGGACTCCCATCACACGGGCTTTTGAGAGGGCTTTTGAGAGGTGCCGTGGCGGAGGGCTGGGACCCAGCGGGAGGCTGGTGGGACCACCCAATCATGCTCCCCCCTCCTCTCTTTCCTCAG